TGTTTTTTTCTTAAATGGCTTTTCCTACATAAATCGATTAATTTTATTTCAATTCTTTTTATTTTTACAGATGCAAAATCTTTTCTAAAAAATTTTGATTTCTCAAAGTTTGAATTTGAAACATACAAAACAAATAAAATGTTCACTTACCAGTTGATAAATATTTGAAACAAGATGAATCTTCATAGTCAGGAGTAGGAACAGATTCAGTTTCTTTTTCTATATTAGAAAAAATCAATCCAAGATCAAATGGTAAAGCGATACCGCCATAACATATCTCATTATATTGATCTATAAAAAATAAATACCAACCTAATACAAAATAGTTCATTACAATATCTAATTCAAACATTACCTTTTTTAATATAATGGCAACCTTTGTTTGATGAAGGAGAAGACTTCTCTGATTCTCGATCAAATCTAAAAGCCAAACACAGTTATTTAAATTGAATATTACATAAATAATGAAAATGATGTTAAGTTTTAGACATATATTTAAAATTAAATCAAATGATGCTTAGAAGGAAGGGAAGGGAAGGGAAGAGAAAATAAATAAAAATAATATAACCAGATACAATGCAGACTTATTCTGAACATAGCTGGATACATTCTGTATAGTTACTGTGAACCGGTAAATAATTTAATAATGTTATCAATAGGTAAATTCCATTTATCTTTCTTGAAGCAATTCTAAGCCTAAAAGAAATATCACTGTAGAAGACAAGACATATTTATAATATTAGCTGATTTTGTTGGTTGTAACTGACAATTTGATTAAATGTGGTTTAAGCCATTGACGCGCCTTGGGAAAACAAATTTTTATAAATGCGATCCTAATGAATAAATGTTGCTAATGTTGCTAATATAGCTCAATCTATTTTTTTGGTTTGTATTCCTTAATTCTTACTTTAAAAAAAAGAAGAGAATTATGTTATTTTGTTATCATCAATTTTTTGACACAGCAAATTTGTTTAATGCACATATTTTTAATTTGACGCATCCCTAGTCACTTATTAGTTATTAGTGTATTACTMACTAGCCAACCTATCATAAAAATTCATGGTAGTAACTCCCCGCATTTTCAAATATTCTTAAATAAAATATGTTCAATTAATGTTAAAGTCAGCCTGGTTTAAACATACTTAAATGTTTATAAATTTTAATGAGACTGTCTAAGTGCCTATTATTAACCCAACGCCTCAAAAATAATATTACCATCTATAATTAATATTTACTTACTGTGAATAATTTGTATTTAGTGATTGCCTAAATTCTCTAGGTCGGATTAAAGGAGACATTCTGTCCATTTCTTGATCAGCCAACATATCAAACATATCTGCTGCAGATGACTGATGCTGTATTGTCATACTTCTGGAATTTTTCCGACTCATACCTTTCTGTATCATTTTTAATGTTCTATATCCAAAAGAATTTCTTCTTGGCAATTTAGAACCTTCAACATAAAAAAAAAAAATATTTATTTAATTTTTTGTTTAATATTTTATTGACCCATTGAAATTACCTTCTGGTACTGTGGACATTTTTGAAAATGTTTGAATAGGAATAGTAGACAAGGAACTGGAACTAGGTATTGGACTTAATGTTTGATATCTGTCACTAAATAGATTAAAAAATATATATAAAATTTAAAATTTATAAAAATATAATTTGAATAAACTCACTGGTAAAAACTGTGGTCTGCATAGCGTGTACCAAGTCCAGATTCACCCGAACTGACTCCACTGGTACTACTGTCTACTGTACAACTACTATCAGACCTTAGCCGGTAACTAGTATACCTGAAAAATATACATTTTTGAAAATTATAGTATTATATTTTCAATACAATAAAATACTAACAGATTTTCAGGCGGGGAGCTGGCTTGTTCCAACTGCAGACTACCATCAGTTGTCTTACTGTCACTCAAACTCCTTATATGAGATTGATGACGGGACCATGATGCACAGTTTGCAGGCAAAGTGGACCATTTTTTTTTCCCAGAACCTTGAGTACTTGGATCCCAAGCAGTATCATCTACCCAATCACTAACAAGGCCCTACAAAACAAATTTTTATAAATTTTTTTTTTTTAAATGTTTTTTAATTAATACTTACTTGAGAACTATCAGAAGGAGTAGATGTTAAATTGGTATCTGCTCGTTTATCTTTAATTTTATAGAACTCATCTTCCAAATATACCCTATATAGAACATTCCAACCTGCATTTCTAAGGTGAGCAGCTCCAGCTCGATTAGAACTAATCAAAGCCAATGCATATAAAGCCGTTGCTCGAACAGAGTATACCGGATAAGAAATTGCAGTTTTACATACAGCTTGTAAAATTCCATTATTAGCCAAATAGCAAGCACCTTGGTGTACACTACCAAAATGACCAACAGCCCACAATGCAGCTTTTAAATGTAATTGGTCTTTAGAAGGAGATTCTTGAAAAAGGTTAAGTATGAATTGAATTATATTGCGAAAATAAATATCTTTGACAACTGCTTGAAATCCGTTTTCATGTACAGCTATTTGAGAATAAAGATGAGGTGGTAAACAAATACTTGGAATTCGATTTCTTGACATGTCACTTGTGAGCCTGGTTTTATAGTGTCCATCTTCATGACGTTGATGAAGAGTTAATTGATCATGTAATTCCCCTTCAACTATTAATACATACCTAGAAAATAGGATACGCCAAAAATTGATAAAAAAATTACTTTTAAACTAAACTATAATTAAATTATATACCACCTTAAATTAAAATGGGTTCCCCAATTGTGCAACTGATTTGAAACGAAACTAGATTCTGACAAGTATTTGTACCCAGCAGTATCTGATAAAAATCGTACAAGTAAAAGCAATCCTCGGTCTCCTAGCTGGAGAATAT